GCGGGCATCGAGCCCCTCCAGGGCCTTCTTGTCCAACTTCTTCACACTCCCGCTGGCCGGCTCCATGTCGACACACACAAAGATCTACGAATTTAGATGTATAAAGCTTAGGGGTCTAGGCGTTTAGGGTGGTTTAGGGTTTAGGGTGGTTCAGGAGTGTAGGGTTTAGAGCTACGGAAGAAAATCAGCATCGAAGGCATATTCCATGTATGTTTGCGTGGTTATAGTAGGGGTTGCATAGGGGCCGCTCCCGGGATGCTTGCCCCATTCTCTACGACGCGCTCTGCAGGGGTTCTGTCTATCAAGTCCTGTCTGCATAGAATGAGGGAGCTGCACTGAACAATGCCTATAAACTGGATTAATGTGAGCCGTGGTCTAAGCTCCTTAAAGGGGGGTTATGTAGGGGATTCTATAGGGACTACTATGGGGGGCATTAAGGAGGAAGCTTCCACTTCTCAAGCTGCCTCCATTGCGGAAAAGAGCTCATTGCCTTCTCAACACAAGGCCTTAAACCGCAGAGCCAACAAAACTCCTGAGCCCTAGGGTTGAGGGTTTAGGGGCCCACGCCTCAAAATGGAAAAACCCCCTACCACAAACTGACATGGAGAACCCCAAAGGGCGCTGCAAAGACCTCTTAAAAGCGGGTTTAGGGGTTTAGGGTTTAGGGTTGATGGGGGAAAAATACTGCGGCTGATATTCGACATCCGGTATGGTCCTAATAGATTGGAAAAATGGTGTTCAGCATAGGTCATGCAGATCGCCCTAAAGGGATAATTAGGTCCCAATATCCCCTCAAAGGAGTCCCTAGAGATACTGCAACGGCCTACAGAATCAGGATATTGCTTCAGGCTATGTTATACTATAATTGCATGAGCGCATACAGAGATAATGCTGGTAACTACCTCTTCTACAACCCTAGACCCTAAGCCGTAGACCCTAAACCCCAAGCCCTGGGCCCTAAACCCTAAAGCCTCATTTCTCAAAATCCTAGGGACTCTTAGGACCCCCACTACCTGGTACCGCACTACTATTGAGGCTATATTCCTTCTGTATCTGGGTCTAGATAGGTAGTGGGGTACCAGGTAGTGGGGGTCCTAAGAGTCCCTAGGACAAAAGCCTGAAGGCCCTTGCCTGCGCAGGTCATGTTCCAGAAGACCCTGCTGGCTGGGGGTGCAAAAAGTCGTCCAGCCGGAGAGACCTCCTGACAGTTTAGACTGTTGGGGGGCTAGGGTTTAGGGTTCGTGATTTTGGGGTCAAGGGTTTACTGGCTTACGAGTATGGTTTGGGTATTCTGGCTCAAGGTTAATGAGCTGGTTTGAGGATAGGTTTTGCGACCTGCGCGTTCAGTGGCGTAAGGGCTTGAGTGATTCAGGCTTCGCACTTCGTAGCTTCAAGGTTTGAAGTTGAGGGTTCGGAGTGTGGGGAAGTTTCTATTCCGGGAAAACATCGCGCTAGGAGTATACACCCTCCAGAAGTGAACCCGCATATACGGGGCCATATCATGGTACGTAGGTTTCTTGTCATGGTACGTAGACATGTATATATAATACGTAGGAGTTACTCTCCCCGAAGCTATAGTCCCCCTTAAGTAGATAGAATATGGCTTTAGGTATATTGTAATAAGATGCCCATATACCCCATATTCTATCTACTTAAAGGGGAACTATTAACATGAAACCGCCTAATGTCCTACAAAGTTCGCTGCCCCTTCCAAAGGAGGCAATGCGGGTGCTTGCTTGGCGGTGTACAGGGAGGCTGCCTTCAATGATGATTGGGCGTTTAGGGTTTTGGGGTTTAGGGTTTAGGGGTTATGATTTAGGGAGGATTAGGGTTTAGGGTTTAGGGTCTAGGATTCAGGGTTTGGGTTGACATCATCTTCTGGTCAGTCCGGGCTGTAAGGATAACGAACACTGCTCACACTGCTGTTCATTGATGTCAGAGCCTTAAAAAGACATATATCGAAAAATACAAAACAAAACAAAACAAAATTATTTACTTCGAGCATGCTCACCCTAAAGCCGTTATTGCACAAGGAGTGTAACGTTTCCCTGCCCCCCCTCAACTGTCTTCCTTGCAGCACTGCAAATGCCCTGCAAGA